ATGCTGAACTCGCTGCAGCATAAGGGCACTACTTTTAGAAAAAAGCCCATAACAGACACAGAATTTAAGAAATGCCAACCACTCTCCCATAGTAATAGTCATTTCCACCTCACCAGTCTTGCACCGTAATGCAATTAGCATTTAACTAGTTATTAAAATTTTTAACAGTTATTATTCTTAAAAGTGTTATATTCTACATTCCTCACAGCTCCTCTATTTCATGGACAAGTGTCCATGAAAAAACAAATCATCCCAGGAGGACATAAATGGCCGAGGGAGGTTTCGATGAGAAAAGATGGGAAATCCACTTTTGTGAGGCTGGACGACTCACAAGTTCTAACTGTGCTTACGGCTCTTCCTGCCGCAGAGACTTCTGTTCTGCCCGTAAAACTCCGCTTTTGATAGATATCAATTTCCAGCAGGGAACAAAACTTCAGGACTCGCACGAACACGGCCAAGCGACCCCCGCGGATCCCGCGCCTTTTCCCCCACGGTTCCTCTCTCCCCGCTCGGTCGCCCCCGCACCCAGCGGAACCCCGACCTCCTCGCGGGCTTCCCCGCGGCTCCCGACCCCCGACGGTAGGATCCATGCCCCCAGGATCGCTCCCTGTTCCCCCGGTCCCCTCACACATCCCCACTCACCGCCGCGCGCGCTCCCCGGCACCCGCCAAAATTCCAACCTGGTCACGCCCCCCCCCTCCCGCGCATGCGCGCCCGCGCCATCCCTAGTACTGGCAGAGGCGGTGCCGGCCGGCGCCATCTTGGTTGTGGGCGGGCGGAGGGGAAGGCGAAGGTGCCCCAAGGTGGGGGTGAGCTGGGTGGTGTCGCACGTGTGACGTCACACTGTGTGTGACGTCAGCTTCGTACAGAGTTCATACACTGCCCCTGGCTCTTGGGGAGCCCGCTTAAGGCAAAGAGCTGCCCGTGACTGGGCAGAGTGGCCTCAGGGAAGGGTCACAGCAGTCGCGATCCTCACCTGGATAACCTAAATAATGTCAGCCCTTGTGTTAAAGCAGTAAATTCAGTCCCGGTTATTGTCACGTGCGGCGGGCAGGATTTTGTAGTCTGGTTTGCTATTTCTTTGGTACGACTACAATTCTGTAAAAAAAAATATTTTGGAGTATGTACAAGCTCACTGCTGTAGTCCCTCACTCCGTGCATCACTTAGAAAGAATTCAGGAAGAATATCTTCAGGAAGAATTTCTTCACTTTGGGATGAATTTCTTCACTGAAAGGGTGGTCAAACACTGGAATGGGCTGCCCAGGGAAGTGGTGGAGTCACCATCCCTGGAAGCATTCAAGAAACAACTGGACGTGGCACTTATGGTTTAGTCGACAAGGGGGTGTTGAGTCAAAGATTGAACTCAATGATCTTGAAGGACTTTTCCAACCTTAATGTTACTATGAAAGCACCCCAAAATTGCCCCCAAACCATATGGATTTGAGCTCAGATCCGAAGGCTTTTGCACTAAATCCACTCTGCAGGATGATGTCCAAAGAGAGCATGTCGTTGGTATTCAAAGGCCAGCAGTACCTGTGTACTGGGTTAGGAAAGATAAATTAAGGACAGAAATTCTGTGGCAGGTGAAGGAATCAAGAAGTTTCAGCAGACAACAGGGAGCGATGCTTCACTGAGCAGTTGAGATGCTCCGCTGAATAGTTGTCATCTGGCATGTGTCACATTAGACTTTCTTGGTTTGGAGTTTTCTAACAAATATCACATTCCTAGCCCAGGCATGCTGGGTTAACTCATTCTGAATGCATCTGACTGTGTGATGCTTGTGCAGAGGTGTTCCAGGGGAGCTGGAGCAATGAGTAAATGACAGGAGCTGGGGAGGAGCGTGTGGGCCAAGGGGGCTCCTCTGTACTGCTGCTTATCCATGATGGAAACAGGGAAACACCCTGTGTCCCATCTTGGCATGAGTGTGAATCTGTGGGCAGACATCAGGACGCTGTGTTTCATATTTTCTCTTCCTCTGGCTGCTAACTGCCAGTGCGGCCCAGGCTAATCACAGAGTAACACCAAGTCTCCCCACTCTCCATCTAACTGGAGTAATGTAGTAATGAGCTTGCCAGCTCCTGTGACTTGGTTTGCAAATCCAGAGATACCTTGTGGTTCAGAAATCTCAATCCCACCCCGCAGAAATATTTTGGCCCCTTCCTAGACTGGATTTTAAATCTGAAATAGAATTAAATGCTTCTGGCTCCTGTTCCACATCAAATCAGGGTACTAATTGTGGGACACGCTGCTACACCAAGAATGTCCTTTGTTCAAACAGTGGACAAGTAGTATTTCATGAACCCTCAGCAGGTTTCCTGATGACACCAAGCTGTGTGGTGCAGGTGACATGCTGGAGGGACGGGATGCCATCCAGAGGGACCTGGACAGGCTTGAGAGGTGGGACCATGCAAATCTCACGGAGTTAAGGCCAAGTGCAGGGTCTTGCACCTGGGTTAGGGAAATCCCAAGCGGAAGTACAGGCTGGGAGGAGAATGAATCGAGAGCATCCCTGAGGCGAAGGACTTGTGGGTGTTGGTGAATGAGAAGCTCAACATAACCTGTCAATGTGCGCTCACAGTCCAGAAGGCTCTACCATGTCCTGGGCTGCATCACAGGTGTGGCCAGCTGGTCTAGGGAGGTGATTCTGCTCCTCTACTCCACTCTTGAGAGACCTCACCTGGAGTGCTGTGTCTAACTCTGGGACCTCCAAAATAGGAAGGACATGGACCTGCTGGAGTGAGCCCAGAGGAGGCCACGAAGGTAATTGGAGGAGGGGAATACCTCTTCTATGGAGACAGGCTGAGAGAGTTGGGGCTGTTCAGCCTGGAGAAGAGAAGGCTCTGGGGAGACCTTAGAGCATCTTCCAACACCAAAGGGGCTCCAACAGAGCTGGAGAGGGACTTTTTACAAGGACATGGAGTGATAGGACAAAGGGAAATGGCTTTAAGCTGAAAGATGGCAGGTTTAGATTAGTTGTTAGGGAGGAATTCTTTACTGTGTGGGTGGGGAGGCACTGGAACAGTTTGCCCAGAGAAGCTTTGGGTGCCTTGTCCCTGGAAGAGTTCAAGGTCAGGTTGGACAGGGCTTTAATCAACCTGGTTCAGTGGAAGGTGTCCCTGGTTCCTTCCAGCCAAAGCCTTTCTATGATTCTGTGACTCTATGTAGTATTCAGTCGCCTTAAAACACAAGTAAATTTTATCTTTCATTCAAGGGAAAACAAAGGAGATGCACTCTTAAACCTGTGCTAACAAGCATCTGCTGGCTTTGGTCACTTGTCATGGCAGCTCATCTGCCCTCTGGACTGCAGTTAGTGATGACAACAGGAAAATAATCCTCCCTGTTGTATGAACAGTTCTCAGTGTATTGTGATTTTATTCTTTTGAGTTCCTTGTCTCTCCTGATTTGTACTATTAGACCTATTATATTATCTTCCTATGAAGACCTACCTCAGCTAATGTCCATGTTTTCCTGTTAGTATTCCTGTGCTAAGGTCCCCTCTCTTTCTGAAACCTCTTAAAATTATTAATTTTGACTCGATGAATGCATAAGTAATTCCTCCTTTGGCCTTTCTGTGTTTTCATTAAGGTGAATGCTCCTCAGATGAAATCAGCTCTATTATCATTCTATTAGTTTGCTTTTGGCCCAGTAGCATTTCCATCAGGTTTTGATCATTGCAGAATCCATAACTGTCACAAAGCTCCCCTAATAAAATTGGACTCAGGGTAAAAAAGCCCATAAATCCTACTGTCACAAGGAACCAATTAAAAGCCAATAAAATATTGCATCTGCTGGGAGTGCTTCTAATTGATGAAGAAGGCTGCAAGGAGGCTGATGAATATCTATTGACAAAAGATTTTAGTCAGCTCTTGCTTTACCTGAAATTATGGATGAAGCTATAATTACAGCTATATGTGCTGTAACAGAAAATAAGAATCCAGAGCCTACAAGAGATAATTAGAACAAGTGACAACAAGTAAAATAAAAAACTCACTTTAATTACAAGGGTAAAAAAGGGATTGTTTCTCTGGGTATTGGTAGCTGAGAATTCACTGACAGCACGACATGAAAAATATGCTGAAGGAAGGTTTTCTTGGGCCCAAGAAACAGGTATTTTTATTGTGTATATTTTAATAATATTCGTCTGTTGAGAGCAAAACATAAATTTTACACTATTGAGGCCTTTGTTTTGAATTAATCAGCTCTAGAGTAGTTTCTATTTCAGGTTTGAAGCAAAATAATGACTAAAATATTAAGTCACCAAACTTTTTATTTCTGTGACTATTTTCTCCTCCGTGATTCAGATCTTCATCCACAGCACAATTTGAAGAAGCACTTATTTATGGAAGTGGGTTGACAGGAGAATTTGTCACATACAAATTCTGAGCACTGGAACAGTTTAGCCAGAGAGGTTGTGGAATCTCCTTCCCTGGAGATATTCAAAAGCCACCCGGACACAATCCTGAGTACCCTGCCCTAGGATGACCCTGCTTGAGCAGGGAGGTCTGACTAGATGACTTCCAGAGGTCCCTTTGTAGCACAGCAGTGGCAATTACTGTCTCCATTTCTGGTGTATGTGGAAAACAGGGACACCAGATTTTATGACTAAAACTATAGTTATAATAAATAATGGCCAGTCTTCGCGAACGAAGATTTGGGGAAAGGTCTTTTACCTTTCCAGCCTGCGCAATGGATTTTTTAAGAAGTAATAAAATGATATTAAAACGTTGAGCTTTCATGTTCAGGTTGTGTGCTCATCCTTCTGCACACCCAGCTCATGATTTTGGCACTCAGAAGGAAGTGGACTGTTGCCTCTCAGTGACCCCAACAAGACCTACCACAGAACAAGGTGGCACAGATTTAACTACTGGATTGTATTGAGTCCAGGCATATTTGCTTCCCAAAATTCAGTTTTGAACGGTGAAGGAAAAAGATAAAGATTTTTGCAATCCTGTATCTGCAATCCTGTTTCAGCCGCCAAAGTATTCACAGGCATAGATAATTTTATAATTGTTATAGATTTATTTTGGGATGTGAAAATCCATCATAATTTTTAAAATTAGGATACATCCATCTCAGCGCTTTCTACCACAATACTGTACAGGTTCAAATTATTTTATTATAATAAACAAAAGTCAAGACAACACCTTAAAAATTAAGAGTTCTATAAAACCAAGTGACTTGAGTACATCAGGAGCTACATGTATCAGACCTAAATGATCTGTTTTAAACCTTACCCACATCTGGCTAAAGCAAGAAGTTACATAAGCCATCAAAAATTTAACATCAGATTAGTATGGTCACAAGGGCAGCAATAAAACTGCCATCTGGAGAAAGAGCAGGGTTCACTTCAAATGCTCAATGAATACAGCACTACTCCATTTTGCTGAAAGCTTCTCAAATAGCTTTTTCATGTATTACTTTCCTGGTATATAATATATGAGAAACAGGCTCACTGTTCTTAGAGTTGATCAGCAAATATCCCATTGCTCTTCTGACTTCAGTGAATCAGCCCCGTTCTGCAGGGCAGCCATAGAGCAGAGCACTTCAGGGGAATGTTCCTGAAAGGTTTCATAGCAGCAGACACACTGTGAGTTCTGTAGCACTTCCATGTTGTTAACCTATGAAAATTCTTTCCCTAAAGCAGATTACAACAAGATTAGTGACTACAGGGCAGGGGAAGAGTTTTACTGTTTTCCCACTGAATTAATGAGAAAACCCCCGAAAACCTCCTTCATAGGATGTGGAATTGAGCATTATTTCAGCAAGAAGGAAAAAAACTCCAAAGTATTTGGCAGGTGAAATTCCAGAAGATGAAGAAATGGAGGGCAGCACTCAATTAATGCAGTCCATAACGTGAATCTGCAGTGTGTCCAAATCAGGTAAAATTTCTTCACATTTGGGACATGAATATATTGAGATATTCCGCTGCTCTGGCCAGTCTTGACTACCAGTTCCTGCAAGCAGAGAAGATAAATGATTACCTGTTATATTATCTGATTTTGCTCTCTCCAGCTACCCAGTTTCAGACTAGCCACAGGGAAGCTGCCTGCAGCCAAGCAAAGCTGGTTTAACCTGAACACAGCAGGGCTTGGCCCCGTGAACTGGAGAAGGTGCTCACAGTACCTCTTTGGACAAGGCGAGGTGAGTGTTCCCGATCCGGCACTCTGGCTCCATGGCGATTCTGCATCTCCGCCAAAGAGCTTCTGTGAATAATAAATAAGGTAAGGCCTCTGAAAATAGACTCATGTCAGCTGGTCATGCATTTACTTCACAACTGCTGCTCAGAAACAGGATCTAGAAATGTTGCTGCTTTGTGAGATCATGTCAGGGTCTGGCTGAAATCAGGGTCATGCAACTGATACCAGCAGGATGTGGACAGCCACACACCTGGGGATCTAGGGCACACTCCTCTGGAAAACTCCAAGGACCTCAGCTATTCAGGGCAAACTGCAAATTTGATTAAAGCAGAAAAGCAAGTTACACCAGAAAAAGGGCTCGGTATACAGGTAATGTGAAATGTAACTTGATTCAAGTATCCCAGTACTTAAAATGGTGTATTCACTTACCACTACCACCTCCAGAAGCAGCAGATAACCCTGGCACACAAGCAGCAAGATTAGCTGCAGATTCACTGCTAAAACTGAGGCCAGAACCCAAGAAACTCATATGAATCAGCAGGGAGAATTTAGCAAGCACAAATCATCCTAGAGTGAAAACGTGCTAAGGCACCCAACTAAGAACTAACACACCTTACAGAGATTCTACTAAAAAATTAAAATAAGAAGTCTGACAATTTATTTTTCTCCTCTTTTAAAATTCAAATTAAGCGAGAAATGTCTGCAAAGTTATTTGCCTTTCTACTGAGATGCTATCAAGACAATGTTAGTCAACTCCAGTACACAGAGTAACAGGACAGTCCAAAGGCAGCACAGCCAAAGTCTGTTCTCACCGGCCAAGATCTTCAAGGTTTTGCTGCTCCTTTAGCAGGTATGCCAGCTGGACAGCCAACTGCTCCTTCTCCTCGTGGATCTTCTCTCTTGCTGCCCTCTCAGCATGGAAATCAGAACAATAAACCTCCATCTGATCAGAGAAATGAAATCATGCTGAGAATTTGTAACTTTGACTGAACTATATTCATATATGTCAAAATCACAAATCTGTGTCATAGCCTGCATCTACTCAAGACACCCACACGCTGCAAAGCCAAGACCTGCACTACTCACAAGGTGAAGAAGACTCAACAGTTTCTGGATTCTGTACAAGACACTTCAAGTGTCTTACCTGGGACACTGCTATTACCTCAGCTGTACAGAGGCAGAAACAGGGCACAGACAAGCAGTGAGGACGTGATTCAACCAATGACACTGACAAATCTGTAGCACAGACAGTGGAACCGGGCCAAGTGCCAGTTCTGGGCCTTTAATGTGAAGCAACCCCTTTTCAGTCACTGTTAACACATGCTGGTTTGAGTGAAATCATTCTATAACATATGCAGTGATTCTTAAGCCAGTGGTTTTAAATACACATCTATTCCCAAATTCTGTTTGTGGTGCCAGACTCTAGCATACAGTTCCTCTTACAGAGACCTAAGATATGGTGATAAAGGCTCTGCAAGTACCTGCAAGGCAAGCCAAGTAAGGGAATTATGCTTTGGAGTTGAGGAAATGTATTCAGTATTCCAGAGTAAGCCATCAAATACCTCTTGGTTTCTGAATATTGGGTGGGGGAAGTAGCCAGTTTCTGAAGAAGAGCTGATACCTGAGCACGGAGCACAGACATGGTTTCAAGGTCCTCCTCTTGCTTAGCAATTATCTGCTTCATTTCATCTATCTTGAGCTGCTTTGCAGCAAGGGCTTGTTCTGCCAACTCCACCTTTGCTTTCAGTTGTTCCACCACAGCTTTATCCACTCTGTCCAGCTGCAAAGAAGAACTCTGATTATGAGATGAACTCCGAATATGACCCTGCTCGAAGTGAAAGCTTGCTTCTTCCTCCTCCTGCCCTTGAAAAATTTCCAATTTTGGTCATCAAAGGAACTTGGACTAAGACAGCAGTGGTGACTGATATTTTATCTTAAAGATTAGTTATGAGCTTTCAAATTGCATTGTATCAAGTTAAAATAGAACTCCCTAATGGACACTGCAAAGGCTGTTTTTTCCTAGTTTCCAAAATTTTACAGAAGAATCTGGCACTTCCCTGGAGACTCAGTTATGAACAAGACCCCACTGTGGCAGGCATTCTATTGAAGAACACAAAAATGTTTAGAGATCTACCTTCCTACACTTATAGACGATGCTGCAGGAGCACTGATGTGCCTTTGTCTATCACTGCTCTCTAAGGACCGGACTATGTACTGCACTGCAGGTTAGACCTTACATGGAAAACACCATGGAAGTTGCTGATGTGTGGATAAAGTTTTCTCTAACTGACAGCACAGGATCTGTGTTTATCGCAGCAGTTCTGCTGTGGTGCATGTTATTATGTAGAAGGGATGACAATTGGTTCCTGCCCAAATTTGATCCTGGATAGATTCTCCCATCCCTTCCCGCTCCCCTCTAGTAAGTTATGATTTCTTCTTGTGATGAGTTTACCTCTTTGAGTTTCATTTCATCAATTTGTTTCATTGCCTCAGTGAGTTGAGGAAGAAGTTTGCTATATGAGTCCTGCAGGCTATTGTATCTTGCCCTGTTTATGACAAGAAAAGAGGTGAAAGTTTGAAAAACTTAATTCTTTGAAATCTATATGATGTTAGAACTTAGAAAAAAGCCACCCCAGCTCCTTGCAAATCAATCTGCATTTCTGATGACAAAAAAAATCATGATCCATGTCTCAACATCTCTCTTCCAATGAATTGTGAGCTGCTTTATCTGTGGATTGAGTGTGAACATACGTCCTTACTGATCATCTGCCTTTTGTATTGAAGAATCCATCACCCAGTATTTTTAAATCAAGCTCACAAATTCTGTTCAAAATGTAACACCTCTCTTGGGAAGGCACCTAAGTCTTGACTCAGAGTGCAGGAGAATTCACCTGGAGAAGAACCAGACACAGACTCCAGAGATAAGGAGCAGCTTCTCCAGCAGCTGAAGACATGTCCTTCAGGAAGTTCAGCCTCTCTGAACAGCTTGGACTGACACTTTCACACTCCTTACACAGATGCACATGAAAGGGAGGGGAGCCAAAGCGAACAGTGAGTCTCTCTACTTCAGCTTCACTGCACACTTGCCTCTCTTACTGCAAACATATTGTAGTAACCACAGACCTTTTCATTAATGTCACTTTCCCAGCACTGTCATCACCTGACTTGTCCCTGCCCTCCAAGATGTGTCCCCATTTACCCCTGCTAGTGAGTGGCACAGCTGTTGTCACTCCTCTGCTTCCTCTACTTGTATGTTACACCCTGCTCTATTCCACCTTTGACTTTGTGATTAAACGAAGATGAAAGTCCAAGCTGACAGCTCAAGTATTCCTAAGTGAGAGGTTCAGTAGATGAAAGACTACAGTCTTCTAGTTCATAGGCTACAAACATAATATGGTTTCAAAGGCTGCAGAACACAACTGCAGTATTTCCAATTCAATTCTCCTTTGGCCAGGCTCCCTTGGACTTCCCTTCCTCACTGGCAATACCTTCCTGGAATACAAAACCAAGTCACACTCACTTTTCTTCATGTGTCTTGGCTTGTTCCAGCTTGACCTCTGACTGCATGCTCTCCACCTGAAGTTCCAGCTTCTTGACAGTGTATATTAGCTGCTGCTTCTCCTCCAATTCTGATGCAGCAGCCAAGCTTTTTCTTTCCAGTGCTTGGCACCTGACAGAACAAGGAAAACAGGTTGATCTCTCCTGTTCTGGGTTTAGCACACTAGGCATATAGCAAAAAGAATCCTTGAGTGGTTCACTTCAAAGGCTTATTTTGATGAAGAACATGGAAAGACAAAAATCAATCTGTCCACAACCAGCAGAAAACAAAGATATTGAAACCAACAGTTACTTTCTTACTACTATAAATCTCAAAAAACTGGAATTTGACAGAAAACTAAGCAACTAAAGTGAGGGTCTTGTAACCACTTTTATAACCTACACAACTAGTCTTCAAAAGTCGAGACAGTTCATGTGAAAAAGGTCATAATCAGGTCTCTTGGCTTCTTCCCCTAAAGCTAGAACAGGAATTGATTATGTGAAGTGGTGAACAGGAAAAGATTTGCCTTTACATCATAAAAGGTTAAAACCCAAATCTTAAAATTCAAGGCACTGAGGTTCTATTTGTGGAACTAGGTTGGCAGCTCAGATTTTCTAACAATTGCTGTATTTCTGTACTTTCATCTCCACTTACAAAGAAAGAGCAATCTTTTACAGTATTTCTATGAAACAGACATTTAAGTTGATATTTGAGAGCTGGTGAGCTTCCCAAGGTGGGTGTTTTCTTACAAATATGTACTGAGTGCCACGACAGAACTTTTGTTCTTCTGAACCTTACTTTTCTTGAAGCTTCTTCTGAATCAATTCTGCTTCTTTTAACTTCTCATGGGCTTCCTGAAGCTCCTTAAACAGAGCACAAACTTGCAAATTCAGGGCTTCTACTTCACTGCCAACCTTTTAGACAAAAAATAAGGAAAATTTCATATAGATAATTCAAGATAGCAAAGCTGCAGGCTAAGAGATCTAAGCAGGAAGTTATCAATCTTTCTCTAGAGAAAACAGACTAAGTCACTCTGCACCATTACATTCTACACTCAGTAATAAAGCCCCATCTAAAAGGCTGCACAATTATTCCTAAATATGACAGAACCCCATTTTGACTTAATCTTTTCATAAATTCCAGGTAACTCAAAGACAACAAGCAACCTCCCAGGGAGGGCAGAGTGGTAACTGCAGTGGTGCTTTCAAATGACTCATCTCCGGAGACCTGGCTGAGTGTCCAGCTGCTGTCTGGCAGAGGATGAGCTCTAGCCTCTTCTCCCCCAGCCACTCTCCAAACAGAGACAAAACAGGTTTGAAATACTTGTCACTCTCTCCCAGGATGTCTTTGAATGCAGAGCCCTCAAAAATAGCGCACACTGCACACCCCCCATAGTTCCAGTAAAGATCTATGTTTTACAACAGGGGCAGGTAACATGAGCTCTGCTGAGCAGAGCCTCTGCAGAACCCCAGCAGCGCACATGGAATCAGCTGCCATCACAAGCACATGAGCACTGACCTCAGTATCAGCACTTCCATGAGGAGCATCTGGCTCAGGCTGTAACTCAGGCAAAGCTGAGATAAGAACACTGGAAAGAACTAACTGAGACATCATTTGCTTTCCCTAGAAAGGGCATCTCTTGGCCTGACTGCAAACTGGTCTCGTTTAACCAATCCAGCCCTGGCCTAAAATACTTGTCTTGGCCTCCAGAAGAGCACAGATCTCCAGCAGATCCCATAGCATATTCCACCTCAGATAACCCAGTCTGCCTTATATATAAGCACTCTTAGTTGCCTGTATTACGCAGTTGCACTGAACTAGAATGGATTCCATGGCTATGGGACATTGCACGCTCACCTCACGCAGAGAGGTTACAGCAGCAGGCACAAACATTTAGGTGTCTGACTCTGGAGCTGAATCCCAACCCCAACATCCTTTCAAACCCTTACTTTAAAACACAAGGACTGAGGTTTTGCCTGAAACTTTGTATCAATCCAAGATAGTTATGCCCCCCGCATTGCAATACATCCCACTAAAAACACAAAAAACCCTAAACCAGGTGCCATATGAGCTCCATAGTTAAAGTCTGTTTTAAAGTACACTGTCATAGGATTCTGATCCAAAAGCTGACCTAGGCAGCAGCCAGGAAATTCACCCAGTCTGGATGATTTCCAGAGCTAGAAGTGTCTGCATCTCTCTCTGCTTGCTGGGCAGGGCCAGGATAATGAGGTATACCTGCAGTTATGCCATGACACCCTAATTCTTGGCCATCAATCTCACCCCTCTGGCTGGTGTAATTTGGAACCACCTCAAAGCTACATATTGGAGAGTTCAAAGTTCACTTCCATTCCCTGTGCAGGATAATTGCCCCTTGCTTCCTGAATGCAAGTGGAAATCTAGGCCCTGAGGTTGCTGACCTCAACAAGTCAGCTGCACATTGTTAAATCTTGGCTCAGGAGGACAGGTACTTACAGCCTCTGAAGTCTCTTCTTCCTGTTCAGTTTGTGTCCCACTGTCCAGGCAGTTGCTGGTTTCCTTCTCCAGCTTTGACAGTCTGGAAAACAGAAGGAATCAACAATGATGTATTTGGCCTATGTTTAAGGTGAGATTGTGACTATTCAAGGATTTCATGCATGTGATGTACTCTCTAACATCACAGCCACAGATGCAAGGCAGAATGGAAAGCAGAGACATGCAGGAAAGTCTGCACAACCATGGGGGTTCCTGAAGAACACAGGACACTGAGCATGTACAGTTAATTAAAATGGATGTGTAAGTCTGCAGGTGTGGTGAAGGACACTGACATTCAGTCCAAAGGGATCAATCTTTGGTACAGTCCAAAACTGCCAATCCTTTGGAAATGGGTCAGTCTTTTTGCTGAATCCAGTGATTAACATTGCCTCTGTTTTCTTGTGGTATTTTCAGAGGCTGAGGTTTCTAAGAATCACTTGGTTATGGCTCATTACCTCTTCGAGGAAGACCACGTAGAATCAATTACTGTGACACCAACCTCTCATAATAGATCATGTCCAGGAAGTCTTACTCTGTCTCTGTGAAGTGGGGATCTGGAACAGCTACTGCCTGGGCAATTTGCCACCCCTGAGCAGTTGTGCTGATATAACTGAGCTGAGACAGACCCTCGTACAGATCTCACTGTGAAAACTTCCTCTCTTAAACAAGTTTGGAATTAAACTTACTTTGGACATTTCTAAGGAGCTTTTGCAAGCTCACACACTGCCAAATGCAGCCTGCCAGTATCACGAAGAGGACTGTGATCCCTGTTTTAGATATAATGATGATTCATACAAAACCAAATAACTATGGAGAAATGAGTGGAGAGAACATTCTCAACTAGTCGTCATAAAATTCTGATATAACCTGGGGAAAGTTCAAACTCAAGAGACAATGAATATATTTTTCTTGAACTGTGACACTATAGAAAATAAAAATAAAACATAGAAATTCTTTTGCTCATGGAAGAGAGCCTGTGGTTTATCTCTATAAGAACTACCACAACATTAAGTTATTACTGCTGAGTGCTCAGGAAATTTCCCACCCAAGTCACACTGTTATTTAAACTCGTCTCTGATTAGCCAGAGGCTTGGTAACTGCAACAACCCTGAAAGAAAACAGCTTTAAATGTTACAGTGCACCTACTTCATACCTCTCTCTGTGATCCTGCAGCTCCTTCTCAAGTTTTTCCCTCTTCTGAGTTTCATTTCTAAGGGAGCACAGCAACTGGCTCACAGTTAGCTCCTCGGACTCCAAATTCTTAGATTCATCTGCAGATTTGCTCCTGCTTCAAACCAAACCAGATGTAAATAACAACAGCCACAACTTTACCAGAGCATTCCCTTATCCCTGGGATCCAACTTGAGATGCCACCATTTCACAGAGTGATGAAAACCAGTGGTCTGAGGAAAGGGCTCATTCCCAATTCCCAAGAACCAAGACTACCACCCACAGCCCCTGTGTGTGCAAATAAAGGACTCAGACAGTCGCTTTCCAGCTGAGGGAACAATTTAGTATTTAAGCAAGGAAAGCAAAAGCAGTCACGACAATACAAACCCCTGTATTGCAGCCCTTTCTGCGAAGTGCTGCTGTCTGTTCCTAAAAATAACACTTTTTCCCCCAATAAAACATGGAATGTTTCTTATCTCTGTCTCGCTCCCTTTCAGGAAAAGAAAGCATCTTCCACTAAAAATGGTCATCAGAAATCACTTTCTTTCTCAGAAGTCTCCTCAATGTTTCACCTCCTTCACATCCTATAGCTCTTTTCAAAATGACATTATGCTACTGTAAAGTGAACCAGAACAAACATAAAACTCTGAAAAATAGGGTAGGTGATAAAACACTTTTACCTCCATTTTTATGTCCATCTAGACAGAAAGTCAAAATCCCCCAACTATATGGTAAGATAGGCAGGATATACACTCTGTACATTTTAGCAGCTCAGCTGTAAAACAGCATGTGGTTAACACTTTGCTTTTGTAGTTCACAACAGAAAGCAAGGCAGAGTCTTCTCTGTGCTCTTGAGAGCTGGAAATCTTTGGTGAGCAAAATTCAATACCCCAAAGAAAGTGTTCAGCCAGGATATTTTAAGTAAATAACTTTTATCAGGGGATTTTTAGTGCAGTTCTACTCTTACAGAAATAAACCCATCCTGGGTGGATCACATTTCTCTGAAGGTGTTAAAAGCACCAGTCTAAGGTTTCAGTGCTGGACAAAGACACATGGTGACACTGGAAATATTTTAAGAGGTATGTATACCCCCTGTTCTTGTAGATATGGGCCAGATACTCATCCAAAGGTAAGCAAGTCCCGCAGAGAATGTCTTCTCATAGTAAGTGTTCTCACAAGCCACACTAACAACAAGCTTCATACTTGCAGCCTGGGCTGTGGTCAGCAGCTCTCTCAGTTTCATCCACAACTGTAATAACACCTTTTTTTTCCCTCCCCCTTCAACTTCTTAACTGCATGCTGAGGGCCAAATTTCTGTGTCATTACACTGTTCTTCCTCGCTGATGTAAGGAGTGACAACTTGCGCATGGAGCACAGCTTTCTGGCCTGCTGTGTCCTTAGCATTTTCCATATCCTTCCCTTTCAAAAGCAAAGGTACAAACTAAGTATGAGAGTTCAGCCAAAACTATCTGGCTGCTAAACTGGGCAGTATCCAAAATGGAAAGTTTAACAGTATCAGATGTCTATGTCCACAAGGAGTAAAGGTTCAGCCAGGGGCAAGAAAGTCCCTTGTTTCCTGGAGCTGATACAAAGATCAAATTTTGAGAAGTAACCTAAACAGAATGCTGGTATCCTAAGCCCGGTAACCTGAAAAGCAAGGACTCTTGCACTGTCAGCCTACTCTATTGTGATACACTTCATACCAAGCACACACAGACAGGACAGACAGGTTCAGATCTGAAAGACTGCAAGACCTCTGACTCTTACCAACATCAGTATAATTGGGTAGAGCACAGATACTCTTAGATGGTCTCCAAAGGCTAGGAAGGAGTCCCTGCAGCCTCTATCTTTATCTTTTCTGTTTGGCCTTCCTAAAAAGCCCAAAGAGTTGGCAAGTCAGCACGTCCATAAATGCCTGGCCAACTGGCCAGAAAGTGTACTCCCTCTTGTCAGCTAGTGAAAACTGGGAGGAAAAATGTCAGAGAATTGAGGGTCTTTCCAATACGGCAGGAAGACTACTGCAATGGAGGGATGCAAAATCACAGAAAAATAGAATATTCTAGTGCACTCCTCATAGAAAGAAATTCCCTCACACTGACCACAAAACATATTGGAGAAATCTGAATCACACACATTACACAGGATCCTACGTACATGTAGACAGCAACATTCCCGGTCGTTTCACCACCATTCTCTTGATGTTCTTTTGCAGTTCTATTTATTTCTCCTTCCTACGAAAGAAAAAAACACTATTAGCTTGGTATTTGGACTAAGCAGGGCAGAGCTTTATTCGTTTGAGTTAAGGAAGGAAGAAAAACAGGGAAAACTACTATCATAGCAATATAGATAAATAAAAAACAAAACTCCTACAGATCATCTTCATGTTTGGACATTCTTCACTTAAAATACTTCACATGCCTTTCCCTGTATCTCTTCTGGACTGATTACGGAAGAGACACAATAATGAGATTTGCCCTTCTCCTTTCATCAGCAACTTCCATGGCCACTCTCCCCTATAAAGATGACTGGGCACCACACAGCCAACATCACTGCAGGTGATTTAAATCTAACCCTAAAAATCATTCTGCTGCCTCCTAAAAGAACCACTTTTCTTTCCCACCACAAACCTCACTCCTTGGTCTTTGTAGCCCAAAGGAGAATCCTTCCAGAAAAAAACCCAAACAAACAAGGAGAATGCATCCCTGAAGGTTTCCTGCAATCTGGAGTTTTCTCTGACAACTCCAAATAAATTTTAATTAAATTTGTCTAACTTCTTGTTGCATGTCTCCTTTCCAGAAAGGGGATGTGGGGGTTATAGGGATAGCAAAGGCTTGCGTTTTCACATTTCACAGTTTGCCTGTGAAGATTTTTCAGAAACAATAGTAGAAAAAGTACATTTTTGTGCCTCTAGGGAATACCCTACAGTTTTGCACTGTTTTGTTTGCCTGCATCCCTACATGTCTGCCAGCAGAGAGACCCCTTCTCAAAAGAAAATGCCCCAGTCTATGCACAGGTATTGCCCCTTAACAAAACACAGTACTGATGTTCCCAGAAATTCCAACTAAGACAAGACTTAACATTTTTAACTAGTCTGAAGTAATTTGATGGACCGTGTTGTTTTTTCCAGAGAATATTTTTAGTGCAATAGAGACTACCTATGAAATTAATTTACTTTGAGCATTAAAGTGGAAGGACAAAAATAATTCCAAGTCCTTTATCACTACATCTTGTAACACACAAGTGCTCCACGGCAGGCAATCTAAGAAACCAAGGAATCATGGAATCGTTTAGGTTGGTACCTGGCTGCAGGTTACTATGTTCTTTTTATTCCCTTTACTTACGGTCATCCCAATCTCCACAAAGGAATCCTCTGCTGACATGTTCAGCTTGACTTGCAGTTCTGAAATGATGGCAACCAGATCTGCCTTCTCAACCTGGAGCCGCTGCACCTGGGATTTCAGGTTCCTCACTTCCTTCTCGAGAGCCACGCAGCCCTCCTGGGATAAACAAACCCTGCATCAGCCAAGGGAACAAAAGGGCACACCAGCCAAGCAGCACAGAGTCTGAACACAACGGTGTCTTGTATCCCTTCTTCTCTGTTTAGGCTTGCCCAGAAAAGCCCATTGTACACATGTTTTGGTTCTCCAAAAAGCAAGAAGTCTAAATTGTGAAACCGAGTTAATCCAACACTGGGCATCGTGCTTCTGGAAAACATGGGACTGGTTCTCCAAATGCACAGATAATTAGGATGTAAATTTTTCCCTAAATCTATGCCTCTCACTACCATGTGAGGTATCAGCCAACATACAGAATTATTGTCCAGAATTGCTGTATTTTTTCACCCATATCCTTATTACTCTTTTCCCAAATCTAACCAAGATTCTAGGGAGAAAAGACCCATGGGCAAGGAGCTTTACACACACACACCATTTTCAGTCTTTCCCCACCATACAACTTCTCTGTACCCCATCTCTCCCTGATTTCCTGACCTTCACACAAAGTCCTGTATCCCTTCCACAAAGTCTCTCTTCCTCAGAGATTCTCCCCAAACTTAGTTCCTCCTTCCAATAATGACTGTCTCCTTCACTTTCTTCCTATTCCCTTTCCCCAGGATCCTCAAAACCCTCTCTTAAGCCTCTACATAACCAGCAAGTCTCATTTTTTTTCTCACTTCTAAATGCCTCTCACCATTATGAAACTTTCCCTGTGAGTTTTTTTTCTTTCTCATTTTGTAATCTGAGACTTCCAACTCCTGATAATGCCTTTATTACACCACATACCATCAGTGTAAATTCTGGACAATTCCTGCAGTTTGAATTACATTCTCACTTATGATTATGCCAAATCTCCAAACTCTCTATGCTGACAGTGTCTCTCATTCTACCTCCCGACTTGCTGCTGCCTATGATTTTGTGCTTATGCTGTAAGAGGATTCAATCAAGAGTCAGCTCCAGCGAAGGAGAGAGATGTTAGATTATTCAAGCAGGCAATAACATGCTTTTAGCATTCCAAGAACAAGAAGCTCTACAACAGATAAAAGGAGAATAAATCCCCTACTTCCCCTTAAAACAATATTCCAGATTTATGAAATCCTGAGTTTACCTGACAATCCTGAAACACAACTTGCAGCCTGTAAAGGTTGTGCAAGTGATACTTACACAGTCACACTATTTAAACATGACCTTCTCCCCCCTTGTAACTTCTGAGCTTATTGGTCAATTTTGACTTACATGCTGAAACATTTCTTACAGAGCTCCATAAAAAAGTCAGAAGAGGAAAAGAGAGTCTACTAGTGACTCTGTTAAGAAAAAGCCTAACACACTCATCCTTCATCAAGCAACACAGAATCCACAAGGCTCCTGTAGGTACCAGGACGCACCAGTTTGTCTCTGTGTGGACCTTCTAGTTAAATAACTTTTCACATGACCATGTGGGACACAAAGCACGTTTTGTTTAAATAGGCTTTGCCCACAGACGCCTTCAGCACCACCTGCAAAATGTTTCCTGGCTGCGACACAACCACCTGCAACATTAGAAATGATGTGTTACAGAGCCAAAAGTTGGACAGAGGGAGGAAGCTCCGTCAGACTCAAATGGGGCAGCAGGAGCACAGATCTAATCTGAGCTCAGTAAAAGAGCTTCCATAAAAGAAGATTGATATAATAAAAATAGATGGCATGTCACTCTTTTGTTTACTTGTCAACTTCTCCCTGGAAACACAAATACAAAAAGCAATTAAATGAACATGAGAGACAGATAATCTAACAAGCAAAGAGAGGGATAAAGTCAAGAGATATCCAAGAGTAAACAAAACAAAGAATGAAAAATTAGCAAGAAATGCTGAGTTTTTACTCCTTATGTCAAGAATGTTAATTATTATTGTTTATTAAATGTTAATGAAAATGTAAATTATCTCAGGTGTGGCATAATTTTCAATTACTACACTCTGAGAGGCTTCACTTTATAAAATAAGTTACAGCTAAGGATAAAAATGGAGATGTTAACCAATCTCCAAGTTTGCCAGTGAGATGAATCGTAAAAGAGAGTGAATGTTCCAGACTTTCAATTCAAAAGCATGTCAATCCAACCAATTCCTTATTTACCATTTCAGCTCCTTCTTCTCTTTCCTTCAAGCTCTGAAGTTGTTGCTGTAGTTGTTCATTTTCAACGCACTTGGCCTGCAAGCACTGTTTCGCCTCCTTAAACTTGGACTCATAAAATTCTCGTTCTTCCTTCTGCTTCTCTCTCCAGATGGAAAGTTCCTCGTATCGGTCCTTCATAGCTTGGTTATGCAACTTCATGGCTTCTAAATGGTAGCCAGGGACAAGACATTGATTCACATTAATATTCTGTCCATGAAACAGCAGATTTCCACTACACTGAGCTCAGCATTCCTCAGTATCAAATGGGTTGGCAATAATTGGGTATGAAATGTGAACCTCCTCCTCGCATACCTTGAATACCAAACCAAAACTAAATGTCCCATAGTCCCTTACTATAACAAATAGCATTAAATCCTCTCTTGAAATCATATGCCCACATTCTCTGACTTCTTGACTTTTCCCTGTACTAAGAAGTACAGGTCATAAGAATTGTTCACAAGAGGTACTTGGTATTTTGCTGCGCCTGTTATTTACATGATCAACCCAAATGAAGCTGCTGAACTGAGCTTCTGAAGCTACTGAGACTTGGCAGGGAAAACAGGCAGCCTAGACTGGTAAATTACTGCATGGAAACAGATGCTATCAAATCAAATGTCTCAAATATGCCCAACAATGCTTTACTCGAACATTTGGTTAAGGCTTGATTGCAAGCATTGAAAAAATACACCAAACAACTTAGAGCCCAGTTATTTCCTCATATGTAACAAAGTCAGTGAGTAGCATCAGTCTTACCATTACAAAATGCTTACAAGATTTTTAGGCAGAGTCAATGAAATTATTTCAGACTTGCTTTGTTTAAAGCAAACAATTCAAAGCTGGTTGCTTAAAAATATTTTATACTTATATTTTCCAGTAACTTCCATCATGTCCTGATGTCATATTATAAACTGCCCATAAATCCTTTAGGTTATGTAAATAAATGTAGTCTGGAGAAGGATTCTGCAAGTTATGAGTTCCAGCCGCTGTAAATATGTCCCAGAACATTATCTTATATGATATAGAACCTTTTAGCAAAATACCAGAGGTACTTCTAGAAAAAACCTTCCTCCTAGATACCCATGAGACAGAGCACTTGGACCAGGTCCAAAAATGATTCAGGCAGAATTTAAACACTAATGTAAAATCCGAACACAGGAGATATGTGACTTCATACTCTGCTGTCATATAGACCTCTGTCTTTTACACAGAAAACTCCCAGATCCCTTAGGTTTTATCGCAATCATTTAAAGGAAGAAATATCTGGCACCTAAATTCCTGGGATCCAGAAACAAATCTATCTCACCTGAAAGACTCAAATTATTAGGAATTTTCAGGGAAAGCTATTTGTTTCTCCCAGATATACCCTGCCACAGCCATCACTTCCTTTTGAAGTACAGAAGGTGCAGTACCCACCCCTCCCGACGCAGCTATGGCAAAACGTTAGTCTGTAATGAAGCCAACAGTCTTATCATACAAACAAAAAAAGCTTTTAGAGGTTGATGAGCAAAAAGCATATCATAGGAAGAGATTTTTCACCTCACCTTCTAAAATACACAGCGCTATACTGCTTATATATCAAATTCTAAAGCAAGTAATTGGGCTGTTCTCTCCCTACTCTTTCATACTGATTCAATTTGATGTGTCCTATCAAGCATCTTATTCTGGCCCTGCCACTTGCAGAGTCCTTTTTACAGTGAATACTACCCAGGTATGAAATGTTACCCACCAAGGGCAAATGAGCACAGAATTCATAGTCACAACAAAAAACCACAATCCCTCAGATGAGACTTGGGGCTTTGGCATTTCAAACCCAGCTCACACGTGCCTTCACCTTTTAACTCGTTGTTCTCAGTGATTAGTTCTTTCATCTGCTGCACCATCTCCTCTGGGGTGTAGGTACTAAGGGCAGGGCCAGCCCCACTGTCCACTCCGTTTTCCATTTTACCCTTGGGATGCTCTCCATTTTCAGCAGGACGGCCCTTCAACTTGCTGGACATCTCTGAAGCAGCTACTATAAGGTTTGGAAAGAGAAAATTCTCAATCTCTTGCTCAATTATGAAGTAATTATAATCATGCATTCACTGTACTATGACAAGCAAGGCTTTGTGTCTTGTCACAGCACACAGGCACCTTCAATCCCTCTGACCCCGTACACCAGAGTATCCATGAGCCTCCATAAAACATTAATTTCCCAGGGGCTAAAACACAGGATCCCCAAGACTGCTCTCGGGCTAACCAACCCTCCCTCAGGAGCCCATAACAGTGGGAATGAAATGAGACCTCCTGTCTCACCCTTTCCCTCCCCAGCCCTGACAGCACCCGGGCCCCGCCGCCCGCCCAGCCCTGACAGCGCCCCGGCGCTACTTTTCACGCCCACATCCCATTTCCGCTGATTTTTAACTTTCATTTTCGCTTCCTAGTCCCCTTTCCCCCTTCTCCGGCATAACCCCGGCGGGGTTCCCGGGAGGTTGTGGTGCCCGCCCCCGCCGCTGCCCGGGGACGGCCACCCCGTCTCCGGGCAGGTCCGGCCTCCGGGAGCCGCAAGCCGCTGTTTCCTCCGCTTGCCCTTCCTTCCTTCCTCCCTTCCCGCAAGCCCACCCCCGATCCGCCGAGTCATCGGGAGAGCCCGGTCACGGCCACCGCCGTCCCCCGGCTCCGGGCTGGCCTCGGGGAACCCTCTGCCCGCTCACCCCTCACGACGCGCCCATGGCGGCGGCGGCCCGGCTCAGCTGACTGACTGCCCGCCCCGCTGTCCCCGATCCCGCCTCCGCCTCCTCCTCCTCCTTATCCGACTCCGAGGGGATTTCCCAACCCCGCGCCTCCCTGTTCCTGGGCACGCGGCGTTCGCTTCCCTCACATATTGCCCCCCGCGGCTACCCCCCTCACACATTCCCTCAGAGATTCCTGAGGAGCCAGGAATTCGCCAGCCCAGCGGGAACCCGAGCAGCAAAGTCGTGTGGGGAGCATTGCCCCCCAGGGAGTAGAGTCCTGCGGGTCCACGGAAAGAGGAAGACTGGAGTAGATGAGGGATCAGACAGCGGCAGCAAGAGGGATGATGAATCACGAAATCATGGTATCAGTTAGGTTGGGAAAGACCTCTCAGATCATCGAGTCCAACCTGTGACCGAACACCACTTTGTCAACCAGACCAGGGCACTGAGTGCCGCGTCCATTCTTTCCTTAAACACCTCCAGGGACAGTGACTCCACTGCCTCCCTGGACAGCCCATTCCAATGTCTAATGACCCTTTCTGTGAAGAAATTCTTCTTAATGTCCAAACTAAACCTCTGCTGGTGAAACCTGAGGCCATTTTCTCTCATCCTGTTGCTGCTTACCTGGGAGAAGAGCCTCATCCCCACTTGGCTGCATCCTCCTTCCACAGAGTTGTAGAGAGCAATAGGATAACCTCCGACCCTCCTTTTTTCCAGGCTAAACACCCCCAGCTCCCTCAGCTGTTACTCTTAGGACATGAGTTCCAGACCCTTTCCCAGCTCCATTGCCCTTCTCTGGACACACTCCAGCACCTCAATGTCTTTCGTAAATTGAGGGGTCCAGAACTGAACACAGCACTTGAGGTGTGACCTCACCAGTGCCGAGTATGGAGGGAGGAATGGCTTCTCCTGGCATGAGGCCTAAAAGGCGAGATCAAGAGGCAGATATGAGGCAAATGAAAGAGAATGTTATTGCCCAGGGCATTTTAGTGATCATTGCCACAGGACCAAATCAATTAGGAGGGGGTTTGCCACGCTGTGGGGACGTAGCCCGGTAATGCCTGTCCTATGATGTGGTACCTGGCCCTGGAAGGCCTTAAATGCCAGATTCCAGGAATGGGGTTAGCTGGGGCAGTTCATCCCGCACAGTCCTAGTGCTTTATGACTGTCCTTATCAGGAAGCAGGGCAGTTCTTAAGTAATAAAGCCAACTATGATGTTTTGGTTCCTTCTTTTACAATGGGAAAAATGCTGTTGTAGCTAAAATGTCAGTTTTTCATGAGAAAAATATCAATCTTTCATTGAATTACCTCATGGCTTGAAAATAAACTAATTTGATTTGACAATATTGCTTTGCTATGTCCTAGAAGTTGTGAACTGTCTGCTGTTTAATGAAACTGAGCCTTTTCATGAACTAGTCTTCTCAGCTGCCCTCCAAGCATCACATCCAGGGACCCCCCAGCATGAGGGAGAGAGATGCACAGTGGATGGTAGATGCTGGCAGGGAGCAGCCCTTTTACAGCTGAGGGACTTCAACATTCAAACTTCAAGAAGGGTGCAGCTTAAAAATCTCCCTAGAAATAAAACCAGCAAACATTTATGACGACCCATATGGTACAGAACAGGTCTGGTAGCAGATTTATGCATGCTGAGCCTGTAATCCATATGCTTTCTCCTTACACTGCTAATGAACAGAATCCGTCTCCTTGTAGGTGTGCTGAGATCTTCTCTGCTAGAGGGAGTGTGATCTCGGAGTTACTGTCATCTCCCATCACTGCATCAGTGACTGGATGTTAGACAGGAGTGTCTGGGAGTTTGAGGGGTGATAAAGGCATCTTCTGTGAGAATGAGGAACGGAATTACTAGGAGCTTATCATGGCTTTTTATCTGAGCTCTGAGTTAAGTTCTTGCAAACAGAAAAATCTTACTGCATGTGCAGCAAAGAAAACCGAGTCTTACTTGTCAGAGGAGTTTAAAGAGCATTTGCTATTTTATTACACTTCTGATGACTGTTCCCACGGAAATCCCACGTCTGGTTTTAGTACCCAGAATTAGTTTTTGGGAATAGGTCTTCTTTAGACAGCAAATACCCAAGTTTTGGGGGAGTAATAAAATCTAATGCCAATAAGATCTAACATCTATGTATCTCACAACTCTTTGAGGAAGTCCAAATGTGAGAACAGTCTTTGCTTGTAGTTGTAAAACAGAGGCAGGTTGCCTGGAATCAGAAGTGATGTATCTGATTCTAATTGGAATGAAACACTTTGCTTTTCAAAAGCCAAAGTAAAATTAGAGTCCTTTTAGATGTGGAAAGGAGAGAGATAACCAAAGAGGCCTCGTGAAAAATAAAAAAAAAAAAAGAGACAATTCATTTTATTTACATAAAAGGAAAAACTGCTTTTTTCTAAGGAAAATTAAAGTGTTTGCACAAAACTCCTGTTGCACATCAGCATTGTGGGAATACAATGAATGAAACAATTGTTTGGGCCCATCTATTTTATTCAGACACTTTTTTCATCACAGTTTCTCATGTGGTGATTCTTTGTTGTTCATTCTGCAGGTTATGGGTAGCACACAGGAGTGAAATGTGTGGGCTCTGTGAAGGAAAGAGATCTGTTCTAACTCTCCTGTTGAGTGGTCTGAACTGCTGGGCTGAGATAGGAGTAGCTCACCTATCTTTGTTTTACTGAACAGATAGTAAATATTTGGAGGTAAGAGGTATAAAAGTGTCCAGCTTTCCCCAGACCACTCCATAACATTTGTTTGCGAAAACAGACATCGGTCAGCTCTGGGTCTGAGGGCTCGGATTTAGTCGAGTTACTTAAGAAATTCCCTTGTGGCAGCTGAACCATGGAAACAGTCTTTGTGTACACCCTTACTCCCTAGGAAATGGGGGATAATTCAGTTTAGCTTAGTCTGAAATGATGGAGGATTGTGCTGAATTACCTTCACATGGCCCTGGGCTAACTGATTTTGCAGTTGTCCAGGAGCTGAATCCTGAGAATCAACCAAAGCTGGGGCAAAGGCTTGAACTTGGGAAAGCTTCGGTACAAAGAACTATGAATATCTCTGCGTATATACACAAAGGGCTTATGTTTTATCCATCTCTGTATCTGTTGTGCATTATGTGGAACTCATGCTGCCTTTGACTCTCTTACATTGGCTTTACTCTTCCTGTCTTTCCAGTCTCAGCATTGCCCTCTTGCTCCTGAATGTTGCTGTGGTAGCTGCAGGAAACTCCCAGTTTTGGCCAGGATCCCATAGATAATGTACAGACATAGCCCAAAGAGTGCCTTCTCTCTCAGGACACAAGGAATATACACTATACCAGTCTGGATCGCTTCCTCTGATCAGCTCAGGTGCCTAAAGAGGCTTTGCTTTTTTCTGCCACAGGTATCTGCAAGTCTGTGGAAGAACTACTAACCTTGATTAATACCTGGGCCTCTTGCCAGCGTAAAAGCTGCAGTGTTTGCTGTGACTTCAGATTTGCTAATTCAGCTTAATTTCCAATTGACAGGTAATTTGAAAACACCATAAAGATATGTTCTTTGCAGGCTTTGAGCAGATTAAGTGGGGTAGAGGGGGTATTATGAAGCACATACAACTTCTGCAGTCAGCAGTACTGTGTGATGAATGTCACCATAACCTAGAGAGAAGTAAGATGATGAAATGCATTTGTCTCTTCCAACAATTAAATGCTACCATGGCCTGACAGGGCTCAGGGCCAGCTGGTAAAATTTACATTAAGCAGCGTCAGGCTTTAGATTATCATTTACAGTAAAACAGCTACAAAGAACATCAAAGTCAGATGTATGATCTGAATGTTTATCTGCCACTGACAGATGGTATGACATGTTAAATCAGGGATCATCATGGATTTTTGATTATCAGTCCAGTATTGAACCTCTTGTTATTGATATTTGTTATTACCTTCCAAGGAAAAATCATAAAATTAGAAGTCCAGGAAGTCAAGAGATGACAGAAATAAAACAGTAGGAAAAAAGTGCCCCAAGGTCCTGTTTTCAGTTTGATAACCCTGCTGTGGGCAGGATATATGAAGGAAAGGCAGTGCCAAAGAATGTTTCAAAATGACTGCTTTTGGCCCATTCTGCACAGTTTAATCCACTGTGTCATGTACTGCTTTCTTTCCCATATACAACTCAATGGATAACTTCTTTTACAACTGCAATTATATAACACCCCTGTGCAATGACACAGAAGAGTAAAGAAGCTCTAGCACAGCTTTTAGATGATCTAACTCAGAGCCTGCTGGTATGTAGAGAAATTGTAATGTTGCAGTTTTATTTTTCAGGTTTTTCCTTCCTCAAGTGAGTTGCAGTTTGCTTGTGCCAAGTTGCTGGAATTCCTCACCAGCGGCTCTGATTCCTTTCTTGAAACAAACCCATTCTGTCACTGGTCAAAAATAATATCTGTAATTTTTTTTCTAATAATTTTAGTGAGTTGAGTCAAACTGACAAAAATATCCCCACTTATCCTCCGTCTAGCAAGAGCAGAAAAGAACCATGAAAAGTACCCCACACTATTTCCTCTAGGTACATGGCCCTGCATTACAAGCTCTGATGACAAAGTAATTTTCTGCCTGTCAGTAAGATGCTTTAGAGTTTTTGCAGAGAAGAAGAGCAAAATGTTAACCACAAGTCTGATGCTTTTGTGATTTTGTCTCTGTCAGTGCAGAGGAGATGAACTGACTCGTGTCTGTGGAATAACTGCCACTCACGGCACTATAGGATCCTTGTTTGGGCTGTCTTCTCCCTTTGTGACCACTCAGCAGGTACTGCTGTCGACTCAGGATGCAGTACATTACACTCAACAGCTGCCATGCCAAAAATAAGATGGATAAATGTGCAGGAAAGCTAAAAGCCAAACTGATGACCGTCCTTATTTTCTCTTTCCAATAGATGGCACCAATTCCCTTTCCAGATCATCGTCGGTTGAACAGGTCAGGAGCTCCAGAATACCACAAGAGTTTAAAAACATAGGCATCTTTGCCCTTTTCTTTTGCTCTTTCTGAGTGTGAAATTTGCACCAAGAAGGCAGCAGACTGAGAAAATGTCTGAAGCCCTTGGAATGTGGCA